GATGTTTTAGCTTTTTGTTTTTTATTTCCTGATTGCTGCTTAATGAATTTTTCTTGAGATTCCTAGGCTTCCTATTGATGACTTTGATCAGTAGAGTGATTTTTTGAGAATATCATATGCATACAATTTTTTCTGCTATTTCATATACGTTAATTCTGTTACAGATGATGGCAGCTACCCTTCGGCTTTCATAACACCGCTGAAATCGGATGTAGTTGTTGTCAACAAGCTTCGCAAAAGTTCGTTTCATTTTTTCATAATGCAGTTTTTGGATTCTTTGCAAATCTTTGTAGCTTTCTGATTGTATATTTTAGAAGGTCGCGATTCGAAAAAATGGCTTACCGAGATCGAGAAGAAAGAAATTGCTGAAATGGCTCAGGAATTCTTCAAGTGTTGTAATATCATTCACACACTGAACATAGATGAAAAATGTATTGGAATTAATGCATCTGTATTAGAACTAATGCAATATAATTTTTACTTGTAGAAAGGTTACTCTCTTTCGGAAGGTTTAAATTTTTGGATAGGATCCTATTTTCTAGATACCACCCTTTTTAATTAATTGTTCAGGAAAGAGTCTGAACGGAATTTAAGGATTTTTCATGAACCCTTTTCATGTTTATGTTTAAATTCTGCTGAGTATAAATTGTTGGTTGTTTAAATCTTAATTTATTAGATAAGTAAATCAATTTTCTCAATTTCCGCGATAATTTTTTCAGTAGAGGGTGACGGGTTTGTGTTGGTGGGTCGCCAGATGGGGCAAATGTCTCTGAATGAGATGCCGTCATCCACTGCATATTCAGCTGCTAGACGTCATCTGGGATCTATAGCCGAGCACTACAAATTCTCTGTTAATTATACCGATTTTCCTGTGGTACCACATTTTGTTTATTAATCAAGAGAAGGGAAAAAAACAGTTGTATGTGATGCTTCGGATATACTGCCTGACAGTTATTAAAGAAATAATTGCTATTAAGTTGATTGATGAAATAGAGATTAAAAGAGAGGACTGATAATTTGTTTACTGTCATCCAAATATGATGTGGTTTAGACTCCGAGTGGGATTGGTGATCAGTATTTTTCACTTATTTCGATTGGGATCGATAAGCCTGTCGTAAGTTTTAACTTGTTTAGGTCTATTTTTAAAACGATATTAAAGTGCCAATCTTGCATCTGTCCTTTTTTTTATGATGTTTTTCGTGTTAATTTGTGAATTTAATAGAAACTGATTTTAAGGTATGTCACGGAAGTGGAAATACCGAAGAGGCTGCTCATGAAAATGCTGCTCGTAATGCCTTACTGCTTCTTTGTAAAATTTGGATGGTGTATTAGGCGTTACACGAAATCGATTCGTCATTCTCATTGTCGTTCTTTTAATAAAATAAAAATCCAGAGTTACAACCATTTATCACGAGGTGCGTAAACAAATTTGACATTATCCACTTAATCATTTTTGAAAATATACAAGACAAATGAAAAGTAATAATGAAAAAACATAATAAAATACAAATAATAATGCACCATGTTTATTGCTGTGCTTTATGCTTATTGTAATGTACAGTAGTTTTAGGATGATTTGCTGCATAAAATTGCTTATTATTTCTGTACATTTCTCGGCAAATAAGTTATTCTATTACAGGTACGCAGCTTGGGACTACAAAATGCTTATAACTTTATGTTTATATTTTTCCTGTTTTGTTCCAGTAGTTACACCCCAATGCTGCGCGTTCTGTAAAAGGTCTGTTCTTTACTGAACACTTCTTGGAAAGCTCAGAAGAGCATACTGGTAAATCAATAGAACTTTCTTAATCATTTGCGTGCTATGAATAGCATCTTATTGTGATAAATTTGAATTAATGATCGCTTAATCAGTATAAGTCCGGTGATGCAAAAAGGCTTTCAAAATTTTTGTCTTCGCATTATAACTATCTATTGTTATGCTATTTCGCTTTTAGTTGAAATTAATTCGTCCTGACCGGTCAAACACATGAGGAAGTAGGGCAAGCCTGTGCTACTCAGGAAATATTGTGAGAACTGGGAAGATAAATACATGAGGACCAACTGTCTCCGTTGTTGATATTGCTAATAGAGAAATTTTTGCGAGAATCTCAGCCTTTTTGCTCTTCACTGTTTTTTATTTCTGCTGAATAATGACATTTCATTGTTAATTTAAGCTGTTATCAGTATTATTGTATGATGATGATCTTTATATGGTTCGACGACTTCTAAGCGGTTTTTAATTTTGTTTCTCTCTGTCTCCTTAATGTTACTTGCTCACTGTCATGTTACATGATTTTTAGATGTCTGTTCGTCCTTTCGTTTTCGACCCTGTGCTGCTTAACTTATCACTTGTTTAACAAAATGAGCCCAATAAGAATAAGCAGGCCGTTTTGAAGCAACAAGCTTTTTTCCAGCAAGTTTTCTTTCATGTCTTCATGTAATTAAATCATCGTAGACATAGTTTTTGTTAAATTACCGGATCAGTTTTGTTTAAAATAAGTTTGCAAATGTTAGTTTACTGTTCTACAGTGGGAGTTAATGTAAGTACGCATTTTTTAGAATCGAAGATAAATGCATAATAGGCATTGTAAGTGGACTGTCGAATCACTTCCAAATTTGTTACCATTAAGCCCTAAAATCAGTTGGTAAGCTCAAGTATTGCCATTTCTCAAACATCATTTACTGTTCGTGGTTGCAAAAATTGGATAGATTAGTTTCTACTGTAGAATGGTTGGAATCAATTTATGTATGTATCAGGAGCAAACTTAAGTATTCGAATTTAATTATGGATAATTTCGTTTCGAAATGATCATCACATCTACGTGTACAACTATTTCATGCTTTCAATCGATCAGCGGTGCCCGTTTTGACTCCTTGCAACTGAAATTATAACCAGGTCGAAGTACTTACTCTATTCTCGACTGTAATAGTCTGTTACTAACAACAGCAGAGAAAGGAGCAACTTTGTGCTTGTTATTGTTTCAGAAGAATCTGAGAAGCTTCGACCTTGATTCTTACTGTTTTATCCTGTCGGATATGTTTTCTTATTGCTAACAGTATCACTGTTAATGACGTGTTTCCAGTTATCTGTGATAACTGATTCTATACAACTTTTATCCTGATAACTGTTAATTTTTAGATTCAGTACGGTTTTACCTATGGAATCTCATTTTTCTTCCATTTTCGAATGGCGATAATTTTCTCCAATGATTTTATGCCTTTTGTCCTTTCCTAGCTTTACTGATCATTGGCTGACCAACTTCACTTCTCCTCTTTCAATCATGTTAACACCGTTGATGTGCATTTTTTTCCAAACACCAGTTTTATTGCCTGTTTTCAGAAACTAAACTTGATGAGAAAGTGTAAACGAAAGTAACTGATATATTTTTTTGAATGCTATAAATGTTGGAATCGTGAAAAATCGATGAGCTCTTTGCAGGTCATCGACTGTTTAATGACATTTATCTCAGTTGTCTTTCAGGTTATCCTCAGGTAATTAGTGATACATAAAGATTAAGATTTGCTGTGTTAAGAAAAGTTAGAAAACGCCGCACTACTTTGCTTAGATTCTTTATAACCTATAACCTAAATGGATTTTCCGTCGTTAAATATACTTTGTGCTCAGGATTTGAGACGATTTCAGCATCTCGAAGCACAAAATACACCTTCATTTCTTTTGATTGTGACTTATGCAGTCAAGCATAGTATGTATAGTAAATAACTTAGAAGGCTCAAGGTTAGGCAAAGTGCTGAGCAGGGTTTTTTGGAATTTGACAAATATTAATTATTCTCGAAAAACAAAATTCATTTAAGTTCTGTTTTTGTACGCCGTGGTTCGATTATTTAGCAGGTGCAGGTCTTCATAGCTTTGATGAGTCTAGGTTTAGGAAGTTGGTAGAAGTGTCCGGTTTTCTGCTAATGTTCCGATCATATGCTAATAACAGGTTTGGACGCTTTCTTGTCTTTCTTCCTTTCAGTTTTTCTGTTTCAGTTTTCTCACATCGGATTCACATATGTTCAGCCTTTCTTGTTTTCTGTCGCACCGCGTTCAAAATCTTTGATTTTTCTTTGTTATTGCTTGGAAAAGTATCTTTAAAAATGTCAGCATCTGACGTAAAATTTGTAGTCTTCAAACAAGTCCCTCGTATTCCATTTTCATATCTTTCCTTATGGTATATAGTTTATATTAAAGTTACTTTGCCACCATCGCATTTAATACATATGTATAACATATTACAATCATATATGCAATCCAAATATATACACTTACCCAACAAATGTTATAGTAGAGGGATTCAAGAGTTGGCAGATTTCGATTTAAAACTGTTGTCTCTTTGTTTATTGGAGATCGGTTACCGAAATCTCGATCTATTTCCAATTGGCAAAGATTTTTTTTTCAGAATGTAGCCAAAAATTCAAGTTTACTTTATTCGGTAACTATTTGACTTGTTGGATATGGCCTTCCCCGACCTGTACACATTTTACTGATTGCATCCCACCTCTAATTAGTGGGTATGGTCCAAAAAGTACAGTAGTGAAGCCACTTAGTTTCTGAAGCCCTTTTCCTGCTTCCATATCGACCTGCAACTGAATTGTGCTATAAAGGATCTTATAATAAAAATAAAATTCTAATTATCACCTGGAAGTACTCTTGTAAAGTACAGTTTTACTAAAGATAGTTCTAAAAATACATTTTATTTTATTAAAGTCATACAACTTCACTAAAGACAATTTAGTCAATTGGAAAATTAAACAGAATAATTTAACAATAGCGTTATAAGAAGAGATAACCGGGCTCAACTCTTTGCGTAATACAGTCGTGAACTATTTTGTGAATTTGCTGTTCAATTTCAGTTAATGCTGATTATAAAGTGTGTTCAAATTGAGGAAGCATTTTACAGATTTCTACATATATGAAATAAAATGTACCTGTGTAGCGGCATCACGTTTGCCATTTTGCTGTCCTTTGGAAATATTTGATTTCTCTTTTTGTTTTTGGACCTAATATCAGAGCATATGCAGAAATCATTTGATTTTAATACTATTACTCATGAAGGGTATATGTTTCCCGACATTTTGTAGTGCTGAACATTGGCTTCGGATCATTCATAAACTGAAAATGTTGAAAAATTCATCGCATGTATTCTTCGATTGAAAACGTACCTGCTGTGAAAGTTTCATCTCAGATTCCATCGTTGCTGCTGTTTCAGATTCCACTGACAATTGCCTCTCAGGCTTCTGTATTGTTGATGCTAACCCTGAGATTTCTTTCTCTGCATGAAGTAATACAGCTTTTTTTGATGACTTCTCCGATTTAATGTCTTCAGAAGGCCTATTTTCAAGTCTTGTTTTCAATTGTATAGCCTTCTCCTGAAGAGGTTTTCTGTTTCTGATAATAATAGTAGTGCACTATTCTCTCTAAACTTTTATTACTGATAATGGTGCTACCTGTTTTTGCTGTTCTTGAACTGGTGGTGGTACCATTGGCTTTTGTTTTTTTCAGACTTCAATATTGGGGATACTGTAACTTGAACGGAAAAGTGAAGAGAATTGCTATATTGAGTTATGACAAACGATAAAGTTTTCCAGTGTAATCGGTTGGCACATTTTTGAAGTGATGCGCATAATTGTACTCGAATCTGTACCGCCGTTACTTAATTTTCTTTTAACCTATTTATGATGAGATTGATCTCTCTACATCCAAGTATTGCAGCACCAGATTTGAGTTACTTTCAAGTAATGAAACGGATGGGAGAATCAGTCCATCATTGTTTACACCTATTTAATCAACAGTCATTTACCGTAACACTAATGATAACTTCATGAATAATACTGTTTTTTATAATAAGAACAATGAAAAAAAACATTATTTTCTTGATTTGTTTCAGTTTCAAATTTCATAGTAACATTTAAGCTGTAGAGGAGGAATGATCAAATTTCAATTTCCTCTGTACTACCTATACCCTCTCGATTTATTTGTTTTAGTGAACTGATTGAAGTAAACAAATAGCCTTGTTTTCCGTTAACAGTTCATCTCTCCCGACCTCATGAATATCATTCCAGTTACATCGTACGTTTATCGTTCTCATCCTTAATTCGAATATCCTTTCTGAATAAAACGACAAGCAACCGTTTCGGAAGAAGCGTTGCGATGCAATAAATAATGACAGCTTATTTGAAGCGATATAATCTGATGGAATTTAGTCGTTTTCAATTGTCAGAACAAAGTTGGATTTAAAATCAAAAAATGGCAACTATCATAATGTTTGTTTATCTTGCTTCTTTTGTTTATTTTCACAGCTTTTTGCAGATTTCAATAGAATTTATAATGAATTTCATGTGGTGAATTCCATCTAAAATCAATCCCTAGGTGATTAACTTCTGTTATTTGAATATTCATTCAATTCTGTTTAGAGAGATATGAACTTCTACAACCTCCTAATTTTTCATGTTAAATTACTACAATGTACAGCTACAGTGTCATTTATCCTTCCCTGCCTACTTTTTCCATCCATTATTCCGAAGTGGTCGGACTGGATTTCGGATTGATGCTACTTTACTCTCTCTGCATTTATTAACCCATTTTGATCCACATGATTCAATCCCATTTCTGCCTCTCAACGTTTGCCTCTTGTATAACCGTTAAACTTTTATAGAGTTCATATGTTTTGGAAGTAAGTAACCTATTCTTGAAAAATAAAATTTTAAGGCGAGGAAAAACTTTTTGGAAATATTTGTAATCGAAATGAATTGTCACTTGATATGTCGTGTCAGTGTGTTTGTGTTCCTATATATCAATTTGCTTCTGTTTATATGATGTAATGAATACACGTTTTGAAGGCAATCGAGGCTGCATAATTCTTGCGGCAAACACTTCTGGAATTATCAATTGGAAGAACAGTCTCATTTCCTTTCTCTCCTCTGTACTGACTGTATTTGTGTGTTTATGACCAATCGAATCGTATTTGCTTGGTATTTAAAACGATTTATTATGCCGTTATATTTTGTCACCTATCACTGTCCATAGGTGTGATTTCAACTGCCTGAAAGTAACAGTCCAAAAGTAATAGCAATACAGTTGGTCTCAAATGAGCACCTGTTTTAATGATAATAAAAAAATGAGCACTTACGAATAGTCGCAAAAAAATCTCGGTATTATACGGTTTTTAGAAAATCCGCATGTTCATTCCTTTCGTTCTTCCCTCTTTGTTATTATCAATAGATTAATACTCATTGCTACCACCAACATTTCTATATCTTTGTCACTAAAGCAAAGTAGTTCCAGTCCGAAGTTGGAAGTTGTAAACAGTAAGTAACTTTCTCCATCAACTCTGCTTTCATTAATTATGTTATTAGAGGACAAACTTCTTTAGATGTCCGGTGGTTAATCCGTGTATGAAGTTTCATGTTGTGCAGTAGTTCTAAAAGTATTTCCCTTGTTTATGCTGTGTTCTTCGGGGAAGCTCAATTGAACAATTACAATATGCGGTGTGCGACCAATTATTGACTTTAAATAATATATTATTTTGTCATAAATGTTTTCATGTTTTGGATTGGTTGCATGTGCATCCCATTTAACCATCTAATTGTGATTATACATCCAGTTAATTCACAATCCCCGCTGCAAAGTAGTCTGAAGAAATAAATTTTGTGGTTCGAAAAAAAACGTTCTAATAAGAAATTCCAAGTATTTATAAATTTGTGCCGTTCGTCTGTGCAACTTTGTGGCGAAAAAATCGTAGAGAAAAATCCAGAAGTTTTGAAGAGCAGTCTAAAAATTCATTCCAAATTTATCATGGATCATGAATTTCAATCTCACCCGTAATCCACGATCAGTTCATCGAGAAGAGTTTTTATTATGCAGTGTTTACGTTGTGCATATCAAAAATTAAACAATTTCATAGTCGATCAGAGTTTAATGAAAAACAATATCACATATTTTAAGCCAATCCTGGTTATATTTCAAAATACTGTTACCTTTTGCCATCTTAAAAAGCCCGGTTCATTACCTCGAAATGATTTAATGAAGTTGACAAAAGCCATTTTTGATGATTTCAGACTCAGTTTATCAACATTAACCTTAAAAGTTTATTTTTATTCTTTTGAAAAAGAGAACTACTTTACATCAATTATAATCTCAGCGTAAGTTGTCATCTGTACATAATTATTATTGTTTTGTGGACAGTTTAGCAGTTTTGCTTTTGTGTTTTTCCAATTTTTTTTCCATTAAGGTGAAATTTAGCTGTTGGACTTTATAATTATGCAGTTTGACAGTAATGATAACGGTACAGAAATGATTCCCTTATTAATAATAATCGTCAATATTAGTAACATAATGTTTCTACTTCTGAGGTAATTCTTTTAATTTGTCGATTCTTATAAACTGCAAGATTTACAAGGCTGCAAGGTTCATGCATTGTAAGCTTTCTCTTTTTTGTTATCGGTTTATTCATTATTACTTGTCGGATTTTACTTTTTTAAGGATTCCTCTTTCTTGGTGTTGGTAATTAAACAGTAAAGTTTTGGAATATAAACCGAGTTTTAACACTCAAGATATGTTCGGTTTAGATTCAGATGTTGTTGAAGTCCTAATTAGTATTATACTATATACTTATGTTGAATACCACCTTCTTGTCATGTTCCAGAAAAGGATATAGAGGGGTATGTCATGGCTGAAGATTTTGAAATGACCTAATGAGAAAAAATAAGCAAAGGAGAGGTCAAATCATTGAAAACACTTCTATCCCAACTCCTCATAAAAGGTCATTTTAGATATTAATAATTCTGCATATTTTATTTTTCCTCATTCACATTTTTGTAGCCATTAAATTGCATGCTGAGCTATATTAAATGTTAATTTCTAAGACATCTGAGGTCTATCACGCTTATTCTTATAAGATCTAGTATGCTACTTTAAAATTCTCATTAATATTGGCCACAAAGTATTTAGGCTTGGGCTTCAGTAAAGTTCTTAGCAATAAATGGCTAAGTCGACGACGAATAATTATTTCCCTGTTAACAAAAGACTTATTGATAACATTCTAATAGTGACATTTGCTTTTAAATTAGAAATAGAATGAAATATTTGGAGGCGCATTCCACATTCAATTTGCATTTAGTTGTTACAGCAACAGCCATTGTGTCCTTTGTGACTCCTTGTTATTCTAATGTTCCATCTCATTATGGTTAATTACATCAGCGCATTTTAGACGTGAACAATTAGGCTATCTTTCTTAAATTTTACTCTTCCCTCTTTATTTCAAGAAAGTTTTGAGCACAGAACGTAATGTTTTCATCTTTTCACTATTGGTATTGGTGGTAAGTCACCTTCAACTACAACAGTGCATTATCTATTTCACCTGTTTACATATCTCTGTCTATTTTCATCATATTCAAGTGTTTGTCTTAAATATGTTTGTAAATTTGCTATTCTTACTGTCATTATTTACTCTCTTGCCCCTTGCTTAAAATTTGCTCATTATATCTTTTTGTGACTAATTTTAAACTTCATACATCTTATCAATATGATTTTCACCAGTCATTAATACAACAGTAATAACAGCTTCGATATTACTTACTTTAATACTTTGAACAGTGAGTTAGATTTTTCTTTAGTTTTTTAATTGAATGAACTTTTCTCGTTTTGCTGTGACTGTTGAAGTTTCTATATTTGTTTATTACTGATATTATATGTCTTACCAATATGATTTGTGCATAGCCATCAGGAAAGACCAACAGCAACAACTTCAATATTATTGTTATTTGGATAACTGAGGAAAAGAGTGACAGATGGGATGAGGATTTTAACGTTAATTTTGATTGTTGTCTCATATTGCATAGCAACTAGTGATTCTGCAAATAACAGGTACGGTCAAATCATTTTTTTATTCCAAGGTATGTCTCACCAATATAAATATTTTAATAACAGTATTTTGTGTTATTTAGTTTATTTAATTTATTTGTCCACTTTTGTCAGACTTCAACGTTAATTGTTGATTGTTAATTGTAATATAAAACTCTCGAAAAATTTCTCTGCAAAACCTTTTTAAAAATGAGCATTTTGTTTTAGGAAATTAAATAACGACATTCCATTCATTTTTTTTTCTTTTTTTGAATCATTTCTTTTTGTCTCTTCCACTTCCTTCCGTTTGTTTATAATTCCTTCGATTCCATGAAGTACAGAATGTTATAAAATTCCAAGTTAAATATTTCCACCATACACTTTGCTACATCATGAATAGTTCATTGGACAAAGACTGTAATATAAAGCTCTCGGAATTCTCGACACTCTCTTTTTGTCCATTCTATTTCACTTAAGGTAATAATGAAATACCGGAGGTTAAAGCGATTATTAAGCAAAGGAAAAAGGAAAATACAAATTATTTCGATACAAAAACTCCTTATATCTTTTGAAGCCAATCCCTCCTGCTACCATTGATTGCTTTTCCTACTCAAATTAAAGAAATTGAATCACATTCCGTTATGATCCCATCTACAATGTCACTAACAGTCAGTGTCGTGACAAAAATTATGAGAATTAGAAGATGAGGATTGCTGTTCTTGTTAGTAATAAAGCAGTTATGTTTTTGAAAAAATGATTGGTTATGTGTTCGAGGAGTATAGTAGTTATTTTTTATTGCTGTTCAAATAACAAATACAATAAAAATAGGCTAGAACTAATTCCGATTATAGTAGAATGAAGTCCAAATTAATAACGTAGAATAACGGGAAAAATATTGAAGTAGCAATTCGTAAACGGAGAGAAAATAAATCAGGATTGTGTTGAGTAGAGTTAAGTGGCGACGTATTGGGCCATTATTTTTATTTAAACAAAGGGAACAGTTGCATATTATTCAGCTTTGAAAGCATTGCGCTAAGCATAGAAGGAGATTTAGATGAGATAATAATTTTCTAAGTGATTCTTAAAAATTAAACACGTAACATTTCATCAAGTGCTGTAACTGATTCAACCATTATGAAAGATATGAATTAGAAGCCTAGTTTCATTCAAAATAAGAATTTTTTAAACAAATGCTAAAAGAATTATTACTATCTTAAATGCACTTGTTTATATGTTAATTAATTGGAAGCAACATATCTGTATTTATGCCTGTCTGCATATCAAAAAAGCGGTTAGTTTCGTTTCCTACATCTTTGACCATCGAAAGCTGTCCAGCTGCGGAACAAGTTTTCTTCGGGAAATGATAAATGTGATGTCAAACTATTATACCAACCCTGCGACTTTTTATGCATATCAAATAATACCCCAGTCTACTACATTTCAACCTCAGCGTTTTCCATGAGTATCATACATTGAATCGGAAAATTTAAATACAAAAATTCAAAAGATTAATCGGTGAGATTTATTCCTTATGATTTCTGGATAGTTTTCTAACATCTCCAATAGTCCTAAAGCATTTTCTGTATTATCGCTACGATTTGCAGTTTTACTAACTCACTCTAATCTCTATTTGAGGCTTTCTCATATAGGTATGGGATTCTCCGAGTAAGTTTCGGATTGAACATCGGTATGCTTTTTAATTGCCTAAAATTAATGTAGATTTTTAAATATATTTAACCAACTTTTCAAGAAATCTTTTTAAACTACAGATACGGAAAGTATAAATGCTTGAAGTATCTAAAATGTTTACTATGTTACAATGAATTTGGCCAAGTAATTGGACTAATTCGATGACTTGGTTACTTCCTCTCTCACATACAATGATATTGCATAAAATTTTGTTTATTTCGAGCCATTTGAATGTAACCTTATTTTTAGTACATTTTAGCTTCATTGGATGTTGAAATGAAATAAATCGTATCGCTCTATTCCTCTCTCACTCCCTCACTTAACCAGTTTTTTCGTAGTATAAATTATATTGATGGATAGCAAACATTAAACAGTAACAGACAGTTGTAGAATCAGGCGTACAGTCATCTCATAACTGTTCCTTTTCTCCTGAAACCATCATTGATCATTATTATTGTCGGTAGCATCTGTAATATGAGACTATGTCATGACAAAATAGCATTTTATCAAAATTCTTGATTTTATCTTTTCTGAATTTTTTAAAACTGAAATCGCAGAAATATCTGTACCAGACACGTTTGGTAGTTGATTTTATTCATGCTCATAATGTTACGCTCCTGTACTGTCATAAAATTTTTCTTGATTTGCACTTATAGCCTTTGTGAGTTCGTCTCCGAGCAAGTTATATGTATTATCTTCAATTCATGAAGCATGACAGATCCCCACCATCTTACTGCTGGATATCATTGGTCATGAAGGGATACAATGAAAATCTAACTTCATGGTTCAGCTTGGGACTTCGATATATAATTTTTGTGTATTTAGTCTCGAAATTATAAAGTAACACCGATAATTTCAAGTATTGCATTAAGATTCGCTATACCTCTGATATCCCTGATATGGAGGTATTGTGATGTAAGTGGCATGTAACGGATTATACGGATTTGTAGCATCATTTTAAATCTTTGGATTGTACTGCCTATCATTTTTCTGATATCACCAGCTGACCTTTATGCATTTTTTGCATAATTTCTTGAAAATGTATGCTTTACAGGTCGGGAAACATAGCCGCAAGGGAATAATTATGCTGCATTGAGAATTACTCGGAATTTTTCACTGCAAACTTTCAAACCATCACAATATTTGTTGCTAGTGGTAACTAGTAGCACTATTCTACTATTGGGCTTGTTGACACTTTTACTTCTACTGGCGTCATTGCTCTGTTTTAACTATTCGCTGTCAGTAAATTTTATTGGTATATTCTTCGCCAAATTTCATAAGTCAACAAATTTATTTTGCAAGCTTTTTATCACTACCGCACTCCTGGAATAATGACAGTGCGCTCAACATATTTTTATCAAATACAGGTTCATTGATTTGAATAACTAGTTGTGAAATATCTTCACTTACAGTTCCTGATTCTTCAATCTGCAATTGAATTTTAATTAATATTTATGGTTATTATAAAGTGAATCTTTTATAATGTTATGAAGAAACCCAATGTATATATGTAATGAATCTAACATTAAAGCATTCAACTATAGCATCTAAATTCTCACTTACTATAAGGAAAAAAGTATGAATTGAAGTTGACGCATATTTTCATAGCTATGCATATCCTAAATCGTCCCGTTTTGATTCATTTTAAACTTCTTTAATTATATTACATTCATGATTCTAATACCATCATCATATCTATTCAAAAATACAATTGGAAAAATCAGTCCTGTTTTTCAGGCATGCAATATAATATTGATTATAATGGGTCTTACAGCTGTAGCTCTTGCTGCGAGTCAATTTTGGAATGTTTCTTTCAATAGCTACCGGTAAATGATCCAAATATATTGTGTCTGCTTGTACCTTTCATAATAGTATTCAGAATTGATATTTGATTACGTTATATCATCAAAAAGTCTTTCTCTTGTATGTGAAATTAAATATTTGAAGAGTTATGCAAAAGACAAAAAATTTTAAAGCTTCGATTTTCAATTTCAGTGTCGGTCCTTTCATTCTTCAACCGCCGAATATATTTAAAAAAGGTATATTCCAGGGAGATTGATCTACGGCTATTAAATTGGATTTATGTACTTGCTGGCCTGGTAGGCCTCTATACCTTGTCTCGGAATCATGGAATTGTTGTGGCAAAGACAGTGCACTGTGTATCGATCGCTGTTGCCATCTATTCCACAGCATTCTACTGTGTTGCGCTTTTCAGGGTAATCGATGCAATAGGATTTCTTGATGTAAAGGGTTTCCATCTTTAGGATAATTGGTCAGAAAAGGAGAAAAATGAATGAGGTTTTACAGTTCTTCTAAGTTTTAATTCTAGTGTTTAAATCTATAAAATGAGGAATATTCATTCTTTTCCATCATGCAATTTTTGCAAGTATTATTTAGATAGTGCATCTGCACAGTACACTGATGCAGGAGCAGGATAGTCCTCAAAATGAAATACAGTATGATGAAGTTAGGGAGAACTTTACGGCCAAATTGGTTATCTGTTCTCTCATGATTTTTGTACCAATCGTCGCTTGCTTAGCAGCACTCGTCGCTGCTGCACTTCTCGACCGTCTTATCGTAGTTAGCCAACCTATCTGGCCACAATTCTCGGTGAGTAGCTGCTAAATATCTTTTTATTTGCTGGATCTTTTCATAATCATTTTATCGAAGGATGAAGTACTACTCATGAATGTTGTTTTCACCTGAATTTCAAAATTCTTTGCTTCTATTCTAGGCTTTTCAAACCATTTGTTTCCTTATGTGGAAGCCGTTTCTTAATTTGTCTTTTGCTGGAAGCATACTCCTCGTAATACTTGTATTTGCTCGATGAAAA